TAATTTTAACAAGCTTTTTAATATTTTTTATTAAAATTGAATTAGATTATCTATTCATAAGATACAAGATGTTCTAAAAAAACGAATCTCCCTAGTAAAAAAAAACCAAAACAGGTTAATTTTGCTTCTAAAAGAAACATTTTTGCGCCAATTTTAAAAGCACCCCCATTAACCCTTTAACTTCCTCCACCTCAATTCAGTAATTTCAAGTGACACCGACTCACTCAAAATGTTCTTTGAATCTCAGTTCTAAAGTAGAATGGAATTAATTATTCATAATCATAAGATATCCGCAAATGGTAATGTTTCTAATTAGTATAATTACTTCTAATAAAAAAAAATTAAATTACAAGAAGCTTACTAATGTTGTAATAATTGTTATTGGAGCTGTGACAAACTTGTTTGGTTTCTTTATTGGGTGATGTACCTAAAAATAGTAATAGTTCTTCTGTTCCTTTGTACATACTGACTACTGAAAAATTTTTTTGCTGATAGTTTATGAATGTATAGAAATCATTTCATTTTGGAAAAAAGCTTTTAAAAAGCATTTAAAAACTTTTTATTTTATCTATCACTACTATTTGACATTTTAGAGTTAAGTGGTAAAGAGATTGAAAGGTTAGTGGGGGTGCTTTTAAAATTGCGTCAAAAAATGTTTCTCTTAAAATCAAAATTAGGATGGTTATGTTTTTATTAGAATACCTTGTATCTCATGAATGGATGGTTTAATTCAATTTTAGTAAAAAGTTTTGAAAAGCTTGTTTAAACAGCTTTCATTTCAAGTGGGGTAACGTTTTTTGAATTTTTAAAGTTGGGGTGCGCGAGGGTTAGAGAGTTACTGGGGGTGCTTTCAAAATTACGGCAAAAATGTCTCTTTAGTTAGTCTTTTTCTTTTCTTAGATATTCGGGGTGGCTCGTTTTCTTTAGGCCATCCTGTATAGTACAAAACATAAACCGTTTTCGATATACATTAGCCGGAATTAACACAATAAAAACGAGTGAAGATTTTTGAATTTTTGACTTTATTATTCGATACCTCAAAAACTACACATCGTAGAACATTTTAACCTGTAGCAACGTGTTTAGCGTATAATTTTACGTCTAAAATATTAAAAAAAGTTTTTCGACAATTTTCACAATACAAAAACAAAACTCAAAAAAATCGATCTTTTTTAACTAGACCCTACAACATTTTATACACATTTCTGAGTCTTTTACAACGTTTTTGCACTATTATATGTCTCTTGGGTCCCTAGGAGTGCATTTAGTTTAATTTTCCAAACTCCCAACTCCCAATTTTCAAATCCTAACTCAACAGTCAGTCACCAATTAGCATTCACAACTTATAATTCCCAACTCCCAATTCTCAACTTTTAATTCTCAACTCTCAACTTTCAACTCTCAACTCTCAAACTCACAGGCCATTTTGTTCAAAAAATTAAAGAAATCACAAATTTAAGAGTTGAATGAATGTGCATGTCATGATGCAAATTTTTGAGCGAACTGTAGATGCATGTATTTGCAAGATGTGTTATCATATCGCATATTTTCCGCCCCGCATGATAAAACTGTAATTACACGAAACGAATGACACTAATTCCGCGTCTGGTAAATGTTCAACTTTGTTCTGCACGCCGTTTTCTGATTTATCATTGAATATTCATCACACGCACACACTGTTTTAATCGTAATATTAAATTCTCTTTCTGTAATAAATAATTTCTTTGATGACCTTAGGTAAAAATATCTAACCTTCCAACTATGCAATAATAATAGCAATAATAACATGTAGGTAAAGGTTTTATCATTTCTTGCTGTTTTCGTATTCACCTACTTGTTTTTTTCTCTACGAGTTGATTATTGGTATGGTTGTCCTAATTACAAATAAGTTCGTTCTGTGCCACGTAACTGATATTTTTTTTAATTATATATTCAATTTGGTAGCAATACTATACTTAGATATCGATTTAAAAAAAAAACTTAGTTTGCAACATTTAGATAAAGCTTTAAAAAAGTTTGATTAATTTTGTGCAATATTGGGAATTGTATAATCCAATTCACTTTCCAACATTCCATTTATGGCGTAGTGTTTTAAAAAAATTGCTTCTTGTAATTTGATTTATTATCAGCAATATGTCATGCGTTGATAGATCGAAAAGAATTTAAGAAATTGGAAGTTAAATGAGTTTCACTGAAATTCTTTTCTCATTTGAATTTAAGGATGCGATCCGTGAAACACTTAATAAATAATAACTGACACGATTTTGTTAAAAACCGTAATGAAGAAAGTTATAACAAAGAGTTTTCTTATTAGTAAGCAAGTATGCAAATAGTTTCCAAACTCCATGGTAATTAAACAACGATATTAGATTTGAAGAAAAAAGTTTAATTATCTTTATCGGGTCATAGTCGTTGTTGAAACTGCCCATTCGGAGAAAAACGATAACTATTTCTAATTTCACAACCAATTAGAATCATCCAATATTGGATATTCATCTTCATACTCCAATTATTTTAACAATACGAGCAAAATTTAATTATTGAATATTGTTTTCGGTATTGCGTCTTTGATGTCGCTAAAGTAATTAGACCGACTAGATCAAGACAAGCTCTCCACACACTATTATTAGGTGTTCAAACAAGTCTTTTAGTTACGACAACCACCGATATTGGTTGACGTGTCATTTATGGAAGCAAATGTAAACAGAATTTTTCTTTGGCGCCGCTTTGTTTTATTAACATGTATAGGACGTGACGTCTGTACAAGTCGATTTTTTTAACAACTTGTGAATCTCGGTTTGTTGACGAAGAAAAATGGGATCGTTCACGCTTCACAAACCTGAAATTTTATTCAAGGATGTTTGAGGTCACTAGGATTTTATAGGATTATAGGCTGCGTGCTAAGCTTTGTGTATTATTGGTTGCATAACAACAGTGAGGTTGAACTGTACCTAATAAAAATCAAAAACGTAGTTTAAAAATTATTAAAAAAATATTATAATTTTTTGATAGCCGTGGCTACAATGTATATTAGTTTGAATTATTTTGTATGTGGCGTTTAAAAATCTTTTGATTTATTTTTGGCGTATTGTAAATAACCTAAAGTCGCAGTCAATTTATAGTGTCCACTTAATTTATTACAAAGTTGGCAGCTCCTAGCCCGCCACCTCTAGTGTGTGGGTTGTGTCTATGTTGGTAGCAGAAGTAACTAAATTGTATCAACAATTGTGACAAGCACAATGCATGTTATACAGAGTGTTTCATACAACTTTACGAGGCTTGCGCCTAATGTACGCACCCAAATATACAAAATTCACAAAACACTAGATACAAAAAATACATTTAATTATTTAATCTTTGGAAACCCATGACAGTAGTTGTCAAACTAACTAATCACTGTTTCATTAATGGTCATAAACTGCAGTTTTTAAGGAACAATTATCATTTGTTCTATTAAGAGACGGCATGAATATGATTCTAGTTTAGCTATCTTAATCACTAACTAACTAAAAATGTTGTTACATATTTTTAAAAGGGTGAAAAACTAGAGAAGATGATTCAATTCTTCGAAATTTTTAATCAAGTTCGTATCGAAATAGGTATGTATTATTGATTGCATCTTACAGGCCCAAGGCCTCGTAAAATTATGTGAAACACCCTATATGTAAGGTGTTCTAACCCGACTTTTTCAGAATTGAAAATTGAATTGTCATTTTTCATAAATATGTCCCTAAAAAAACAATTGGATGTTTAAAGTCGGATTTATACAAATCAATTTTTACAAATTTACACAGGGACGTAGCCACTATGAATTGACCCCGACTTTACTTGTGTTACTGTATTTTTTGTATGCAATTTTATACGTTTTGACTTTTGTTTAAGGGTAATTGCATGATCATCGCAAGAAAAGAGTTGATTATAATTATAATTCTACAATTTTTGTAAACTGTGATAATAA